GTCATTGGCAGCGGCACTAGTGGCCATGGTGCTGGCAGGGCGGCCCTGGCTGTTCCTGTGCATGGTGGCACCCGTGGTGCCGGGGGTGACGCTGCTCGTGGCACCGGTGCCATCCCTGGTGCCATCCCTGGCCGCGGCACTAGTGGCCACTGCGGTGGCAGGGCGGCTCTGGCAGCTCCTCATGGCGGGAGGCGCCGCTCATGGCCCCGGCGGTGACGTCACTGGCAGTGCCGGTGATGACGTCACTGCTGCCCTTTCAGCTGGTGGCAGTGGCGAAGTCCCCAGCGGCAGCACGTGGGCACTGAGGCGGCTGTGCTGGTGACGTCACTGGTGCCGCCCCGGTAACATGGCGGCCCGGCGCTGACGTCACCGCTGGCGCCGACGTCACCAGGAGCCCCTCGCGCGGGCTGCGCGGCGCCCTCCCCTCCGCGGCGGGGTGCTGGCGGCACCGCCCCCGGAAGCGGCGCGGCGGCGGGCGGAAGTGACGCGCGGGGCGCCGTGGCAACGGCGGCGGCGGGATCATGAACGCGCCTCCGGCCTTCGAGTCCTTCCTGCTCTTCGAGGGCGAGAAGAAGTGAGCGGGGCCGGGGGCGGGCACCGGGGCCGGGGGGGGGGGGCGCCGGGGCCCCGGAGGGGGCGCCGCGGCCAGGGGGGGCCGGGCCGGCGGCGCAGGCGGCGGCACCGCTGAGCGGGCGCGTGCCGCGGCAGGATCACCATCAACAAGGACACGAAGGTGCCCAACGCGTGTCTCTTCACCATCAACAAGGAGGACCACACGCTGGGCAACATCATCAAGTCGTGAGTGGGGCCGGGGGCGGCGGGGGGCGGCGGCGCAGGGCGCCCGCGCCGCTCAGCGCCGCCGCTCGCAGGCAGCTGCTCAAGGACCCGCAGGTCCTGTTCGCCGGCTACAAGGTGCCGCACCCGCTGGAGCACAAGATCATCATCCGCGTGCAGACCACGCCCGACTACAGCCCGCAGGAGGCCTTCACCAACGCCATCACCGACCTCATCAGCGAGCTCTCCCTGCTCGAGGAGCGCTTCAGGGTGCGCCCTTTCCCACCGCAGCAACTTCATGGAGTTCAGTGCTGAACAGAAAGGAGGGTGCATTGACACTGCACAATCCTGGGGCAGCTTGCTTAGGCTCAGTGCTAGGCTGGCATCCCGACAGCTCCTTCTTAGCGGGTGGTGGGGGGCAGCCCTGAACCCCCCGGCGTTCCCTGCAGGGGATGATGTTTTTGCCTTCTCTCGTTGCTCAGTATTGGATTTCTCGTAGTGTTACTGGTGCAGAAAACTGTGCTCCTAGTTTCTAGTTTTTGTTTGTTTTTTAACCCTCTTTGGTAAATTCTACTGTACTACAAAACATTTAGTGTCAAATTTGTGAGACTTAACCTAGCTAAAAAGTGCAGACAACATGCTTTTAATAATTTGATACATATGTAATGTATCTGATAATGCTCATAGTGGAGTAGCAATTCTTTTATAAGCTCATTTTGATTTTGCTTTATTATTTAGTGTGTGCTGTAGAGATTTCTTCACGTGGTGCCCTCTGCATTGTTGTTTCCTAGTTGCTCTTGTAGGTCGCAGAATCCTGATGCTCTCAATGTGTAAAGTAACTCTTTCCATCTCAGTGATATCTCTTATCTTAGTGTCTGTATTTTTTTATTTTACAGGTTGCCATCAAAGACAAGCAGGAAGGAATTGAATAAAATAATCATATTAGAATGGACTTCTAATGTAGAGTGATATGGCTGTTAGCTGAATGCTTTACTTAAACCTTCATTGTGACAAAGATTTTCTATGTCCCACTCATTGAACCCACTCATCCTCTTGAACCAGATAGGCAATTTATCAAGAGGGTAAAAGTCGTGTTTGATTCAATGGATAATTCATTAAAATAAATTCTTCTTTTCTAATGGGAACGATCAGGCAAATGCTTTTACCAGGCTGTTGACAGGGGTATGTGTTGGCTTAGTGACTGTACTTGCAGCCTGAGAAGCAGTGAGTGATAGGGGTACCTGAACGCTCCTAGCACTATCCCATTCCCGCTTTTCTTTTTCCTCTCCAAAAAGTCTATGCACTGCCAACTCAACTGGTATTTTGTTTTATTAAGTGTTGTTTCTATAAAACAAATGCACAAATTGTGAAAACTTACAGTAAAAGAAACTGGAGGTTTACAGTAAAAGAAATTGGAGGTTTACAATGACTTGATGAGTTGTAACAAACTCGTCCCTTTTTTTTTTCTTGAACGATAATAAGCTGGTCTAGAAAACTTCATGGTTACATGGGTAACAGTCACTAATACTGCACTATTTCAAAGCACGTGAATGAAATTTTCAGTTACAAAGAACTATGACTTCTTCCAAATGGCTGTTATGTTCACACTCGTTAAAGCAACAAGGTAAGTGAAGGTTGGATCTGTCACCACATTGTTTATTAGGACTTCAGTCAGCTGCTCCCCGTTTGCTCGAAGCTCTGGCCACTTCAGAATCTAGGAAGATAAGAGAGTTTGTGTCCGAAAGGACCCACATTGTGTCCCTAACTTGGAGGATACACAATGGAGGATACAACTCCTGCAATCCCAGTTTGACAGCTGGGTTGCTGCAGAATCTGCTCCCAGAGCCGTGCGATATCCCCACCAACCTGGGATCCCCCTTTTCATGACAGGACATGCACTTTTATGATGTCCTACATCAACCTCGTTCTCTCGTGTCCTTTTCAAAAGAACTCAAGTTTAAAGCAGAAGGATTTCATCAGAAAGGCAAATTTAAAAGTACTTAGTCCTCACTCCTGGAAGGACTGACTGGGCAATATTCATGTAAAATCAAAAAGAGCAATGTAGATCACATCAAACCTATATTTAATGGCCATTTCTGGAGTAACCGTCTTTATGAGGGTTTATGTTACTGCTCTTTGAATGCCTTCATCATGCAAGGAAGCCTGAGGCAGGACTGGCTCCAGAGGCCAGGGAAGGACTAAGCAGAAGGGTGACAAGATCACCTCAAAGCAGCCAGCCCTTTTCTGTGTGCCTGCAAACATTTGCTGTGGTTACCAATGTACTGACTTGCCAAGGAGAGGGTATGTGCACCTTGGTTAACTGGCTGCAGAAATGGCATCGTCCCTTTTCAGCGAGGCAATTTAACTAGCAGATTTATTGTAGGGGGCCTTTTTGCTAGGCAGGCTGCAGAATGCAAGAGTAAACAGACTTGCTTTACAGCTCTTTTTGTTCCTTCAGAATTGTTTCTGTTGAGTTTTGAAAAACAGCTTTGGTCACACTCTGGAAAGATTGTTTTTAAAGGAACAAGTCAAAGGTGAAAGCTAGAGAAAACAATAGGGCAATTTTGGTGCAAGTCCACTTAAGAAACTCCATCCAGGTGGCACCTGTCTGGGCAGCTGCACAGGGTAGGAAGAGAAGCTAATTCAGTCTCAAAAGAGAAAATGAGACCTACCTGTGTGGGAGGGATTCTCTTGTCTGAGCGTTTTCCCTTTGCAGTACTCCATGCTGTGGTGCAGTTTGAGAGGTTGTACATCCACACACTTCCCTTCTCATCCCCACAGAACACATACTCTTTTGCTGTAAGAGCAAAAAGAAAAAAAAAAAGTTGAAAAACTACCATGAAGCTGAGAAAGCATTTCTCTTTAGAGCAAAGCTCAAGACAACGTCGTGGGATCGTCGCAGACGATGCCACATTTCAGCAAGTTTCTAGCACAGAACAAAAACCTTAGGTTACCTGGCCTTGAATTTAAACTCTCTTTTGTTAAAGTATCTTATTCTAGTAGAGACAAACGAGTAATAAATGCTCTGCAGGCTCTCTTCTGTCTTTTAGGCTTTTCAAGGCTGTAACAAATGAGCTGGTTTTGGGAGGTGGCCATCAGATGAAGATTGTTTATGCTGTGCTCATCTTAAGAGGCCAGATGCCCGCAGTGTTAGATGGGGTAAACAGTAGTCCAGGAAGGCTGTATCACCAACCCGTGTTCCCTGCAGGCCTTCTTTAAGACCCTACAAGGAAGATTATGCTGGGACAGTCGGTGTAACACTAAGCTGGATCTGCTCCCCCTTCTGTGGGAAATACTAGGTTTGCATTAATAGAGCCCTGAACCCAACCCATGCTCATACAAAGCTCCCAACCAGGAGCTGGTGTCAGCTGCTGTGCAGGGATGAGCCAAGACTCCTACTGCTCCCAAGGAGGGGACCAGAGGCCGTCCCTTAGACAGGCAATGAAATCCAGGCCTGTCTTGAATTACAGAATCCTCCAATATGTGATAGTGGAGGTGGGAGAAACTCTGCTTCAGTTAAGCATCATTAAAAGCAATTCTTGAGCGTTGTCTCTGCCGCGGTGCTTGTGTGGAGGGGCAGTGCTGCCTACCTGGGCAGGTGCTGAGCGTCAGGTAGGACATGTCTGTTGTTGACCACTCGAGCTCGGCCAGAATCACTGCAGAGATCGTTCGCTGAGAGGCTTTCCCCTTCCCGTCAAAAGACCGACTCCAGCTCCATAGGAATATGCAACCTGTTTTAGAGCTCTTTGAAACTGAGGGTGAAAGACAAAGAGAAGTCATGTCAGCTGCTGCCAGCACCCCAAAACAAAGGCCAGCATTGGGTCCAGGTGTTCTGTCCTGCCTGTGATAGCACTAGCAACCCTTAGAACTTTCTGTGCCTTGTTTCGGGATAATTTGAGGCTGTAGAGGATAATCCATCCCATTTTTATGTTCCTGAACTGTTGGACAAGTCTAAGCTTCTTGGCGGCACAAAGACCTTGTCCTGACCCATGCGTTTAGCATCTTCCCGGGTTTGGAATTCCTAATTCTCCACAAAACACTGCTGCTGACAGCCCTTAAGCTGCAAGGGGCTCTCACCTGCTCCCCTTTGGCCATACCAGGCTGAGAGTGCTCACTGGGAAGGGTCCTACCTTCCTGCTCCAACCGATTTGTACCTCTTACCCACACCTTCCTTGGGGCAGATGGGTGACTGAAACACAGCTGGGTTCTCCAGAGCCCCCAGTGCTCTACAAGATAGGCAACCAAACCCCACGCAGCATCCCTCTGCTCGGCACACTGGCATCGGCCTTCCTTGCTCTTGGTGCCTGATTCTTTGAGCAGCTCTGTCGTGTTTACACTCACCTATGACATCGTCATTCAAAAATGCCAGCCCGTCAACCCTGTGAGACGTTGTCATGTCCCCCTCGTCATCCGGAAACTGGAACATGGCTTCAAAAGGCCTGGTGAGGAGTGAAGAGGAAGGATGAAGCACTGCCCAAGGCACTCCCTAAAGACAACTGCACTGAAAGGACACTTCAAAACGCAAGGCAGGAAGTGAAACTCAATCATTAGTCTCTGGCTGAAGGGAGCAGATAAACGCACAGTCGAGCTTGCTTATTTGCCAAGGGATGGCTGATTTACTTTTCTTATCTATTTTTTGTAAGTGTCATGACTACTATGTGTGAGCAAGGCATGACTTGTCCTGTTCCTCTCTTGTGTTTTTGTTTTGTTTTTTTTTTTTCCCTAGATGCCTAGGATTGGATGGACTGTTCTAGCACAGCTGTGATAACTCCACTGCCCCGTGTAGCACCAGTTTCCCATGTAATACCACACACCAGCACTAGGCTATGTGCTCCTGTAACAGAAACTTGGTTCAAGGCACATTTAAGATGATAGTCCATTTAGTTTAGCCTGCAACACGGGAGCATTAATGAAGTATTAATAAAAGCAGGCCTTCTAATTCTGAGCACACCTTTAGCATTTCACTAGTATTACTACTGTGCCCCTACAGAGGGGACAAGCAGGTTCTAAGTTTGGTAAGGTATATGGACTTCCTTGAATAAACCTTGAAAAGAAATGAAGTCACTGCAGGGATTAGATGCTTGTCCCTTGTATGGATGGTGAATGTATGTCCATCCCCAGCTTATTTCTCACCTGTTTTTCTGTTCCTTATCCAGTTTTATATTCCAGCAAAAGCAGCCTTCTTCACATCCAGCCAGCAGGTACTGATCGGGGCAGGTGGGCACCAGGGCAATCCTTAGGGGAATAGAGAGGGCTTCCAGCACCAGCAACTGGCTAACAACAGAAAAGAAAGAAACAGTCAGGTAAGTGGTGCTGCAAAGTGACAGTTACAGACAGTTACAGGCTCCTGGACTGGCCACATCCATTTTTTGAACCTTTACCTTGCTTTGAAATTGTAGTCACAGTCTGGAATCCCAATATCCCAGAGTGCAATTCGCTTGTCATAGGATGCAGCTGTGGGGCACAGAAGAGAAGCAGGTAGTGGCACCACTGCCCATCTGGCTCTTTTTGTGCCAGTCGGAAATTCTACCTGTGTCACAGGCTGTAAAAGGCTAAGCCTGGGGCATCAGAGAGGGTATTAAAACACAGCAGCAGTCACAGAGGCTCCTTTCTTAAGTAACAACAGTTCACAGACGTTGTCAAACATGCACATTCACCACTTGTTGCTTTTTTTCCTCTTCTGTGTACACTTTGAGAGGGGGACAAAAGGAAGGTTTGTTTCCCGGTGTCCATTACTATGCTGCGGTTTTGCAAGGCTCTTAATTAGTGCCAATCTGAGCTCGTGTTTCTGATCATTCATGTGCAATCTAAGTTACCAGTTCCAACTCCTACATCTTAGACACATGCCACTTTATTGCGCATATCGTGTAGTGCTGTGCCCACACCTAGAGCGACTCCTGTGGGAAAAGTAGGCTCTGATCTAGAGAGTGACATTTTTTAAGGTCTTTGTCCCAAAGCTGATATACAGGCAGTAAAAACAACCCATATTCTAACAACATAGCCTCCCTCACACTGTCCAGTCCCTAAACAGGCACGTAAAAACAGTCAATTTATTGTAATAAATCTATCTGTGCAAGTAAATGAACCTTGCAGTGCAACCCAGAGGGCAATATCAAGCTTGTTAACCCTTCTCAACTAAATGTTATATATGGACATGTATCAGCCTCTGATTGCTCCAGGCTCCTGCTTCCTACATTCTTGAGCTTACACTTGAAATGTGTCTAATGTCTGTGTTTAAACAAACAAAAATCCATTCCTAAGGGGTCACAGAACACTGC